TGAGAAAATATCTAAAGAAATGTGGAACATAAAAAAGAAACAGATTGCATACATTTCATTCCAGCCCTGATAGGAACCATCGATTGCTGCAGAAAAGGAGAAGCGGTCGAATGTGGATAGGAAGAGCTCGGCTTCTACCCAGTCACCTTAGCAGCAGCCTCCACCCTTCACTTTGCCTCCTAGGCATTAAAGGCTTCACTTATTCAGAACGTTGGCATTTAGATATTGATGCAGTGACAACTCCTGGCCCTTGATCATGTGCCCATACTCTGTCATGGAATCTGGTAATGTCTTCACATATTTTGGTGAGCATGCGACAGGTTGGATGCCGACACCCCATCTTTCTTGGCAAGAGATGACTAGAAAATTTCATTTCCAATCTTGATTTTGTTCTCCAGTCGTACAAGGCAAAATTAGGGTCCCACTAGAACATGAAATAACCATCTTGACCTTACTTACAATTAAAAAAAGTAAGAGAAAATATTGATCGATCATAGAACATACTGTCGTGGAGGAAAATCATGGACGTCACAATGACAACAATAAAATTCGGCATCACTTGTGTGGGGATGACATATTAGCAGTTAAGAATCATCCATAGTTCTCGATAAAAAAGCAATCACAACCTACATTTGAATTGGTCCTTATAAAAAAACTAGATCTCTATCATAACTATGGGTCACTTAGTCATTACTTTCGATCGCTCTCAGCACCATCCTTTTCTCATATACACAAGATCCATGAAGATTCTCCACCTTGTGCTTTGATAGGATGGATGTTTCCTCAGACGAGACGGAGCCTGCTCGTGGGAGTATGTAAGTGTCATAGGAAGTGAAGAAAGACAGAACGGATAAGAGAGGATCTCAAGAAAGTAATCACACATGAATTTCACAAACTCGACGTTATTTATAGTTTGTGAGCAAAAGTTTAACTACTCAGAGAAGATGAAGAGACTTGTCATCTCAAAATCGTAGAAAGGGAGTCAAAATGGACACATAAATTGAGACAAAAATATATTAAAATTTTAATTTATTGAATAAAAAATATTTACATTCTCAATTTGGTAAGTACTCAAGAAAGTATTTCATGAAATTATCGGTGACGGCTTTAGCCGAGATAAACCCTCACTCAAGAAGCCACTTGTACATAAGTTCTCCCTCTAATTTAAACCTATCTATTCTACTTGTTTTAGTTTGAGCCCAAACAACTGAAGATGCCTCTCAAACATCTAGAAGTTCCACCCAAAGTATTGCGACTTATTCGCAAAGGATGGCCTCTCTAGCAAGCATGGCCACCACCTCCTCCTCTAGATTTTCGAAGTAATGAATCTAATCGGCTCATATTTGCATCTCCTTAGCTTGGGGAACCTGACCGCTTGGAGAATAGAATTTTCTATCTCAGTAACCCACATCCCTTCAAGCAAGGGAATCTTAGCTCTGTGACTGCATCCACATGGACTTCTCCTAGAATTCTCGACTAGCTGCCTTCAGACTTGGCCTGACGCAAAGTGGCCTCAGTAGAACCTTAGTTCACAATAGCCATGGCAACGATATCTCAACCATCACCACTGAAGGAGAGACGATCCACCACTTTGGTGATTGGATCATCTTCATTATATATATATATATATATTATGGTTAAAATAAAGTAAATTCATCAAAAAAGCTTCATCCTCACCAAAAATTTGTTCCCACTCTAAATCAGTAACAGATAATCCTTCCTCATCTATTGGCCTCCCTTCAACTGGCAGAAGAAGGCCAACTTCACCCTGCATGCCAGACGATGTTTCATCCTGCATGTCAGGCAATGCCGAGGCATCAAAAGCCTCTCACACAGCTCTTTAAGCAGTTTGCTCCACTCTCAGTGTTGGAGTACGAACCAAAGCCAACAAACTGACCAGTTGTTCTTATGGAAGGCTACTGCCTTCCAATTTAGGAGACCCTTTCCAGCGATTGATATCCAAAATATTATACTGTTTTAAATACATATTTTATGCTTATTTTTGGTGATATTGCACTTTAAAGAAGGGTATTTTCATATTTTTGTTGCAAGTATATCATTTTTAGGCATTTGGAGAAAAAATGGAAAAAAGGATAAAATTTTGAGTCAAAATAATGAATTTTGGGATTCTGGCGCATGATGCGTCATAATCCAGAGAACTGACGCATGATATAGTAGGGATGATTTTTTGTGGATTAAGGCAGTTCAAAACGAATTTTGTGCAAATTTTCAAAGGGACACTTGTTCTACACACCTATTGGAGTAATTCAATGCATCTAGACATTTTGGAAGGTTCTTTTATGAAGGGATATGTCTCTTGGATCAAATGACATATCTTTTGAATTCAAAAGAGTTGACCTTTGGAGGGAATTTTGAATTCCTTTTGAAAGGAGGCAACCTAAAAAAAAAAGAGGAAGACTTTAAGGTTCTTAAGGGGGACGAAAAGGAGATAAAGTGGGGGTGGCGTGAAAGGCAAAGAGAAGAAAAGAGGAGATTTTCTTCTAGGGTTGTAAGAGGAGAGGGAAGGTGAGAGATTTTTTCTTCACTAGACTTCTAAGAGAGAATTAAGTGTGCTTGTAAGGAGAGAAAGACTTGGAGAGAACTGATAGGGATTTGCTCGGGAAAAGGATGTGCTCGGGAAAAATTGTGAGATAAGTTATGTATTTTATTTATTTTATTTTTTAAACCTGCTTTTATATATGAAATTCGTGTTTTGTCGTATACTTCTCATGAATTTTGAGTAATGTTTTTTATCCTTCTCCCTACTTTGAGATACGATTTTGTGAAAAATTAATTTTGTTTCTGAAATTCGTGTTTTGTCGTATACTTCTCATGAATTTTGAGTAATGTTTTTTATCCTTCTCCCTACTTTGAGATACGATTTTGTGAAAAATTAATTTTGTTTCCTATGATTTTAAATGTTAATAATTTGTGATGATTTAAACTCCAATCTTCATTTACTTTACAATCTCGCCAATTTAAATGTTAAAACATGTTGAGAAATATATGTTATAAAAAGGTCTATGATCTCTACAACAGGGGGAGAATCACATTTGATTTCATGGGAGAGTATGTCATCCATGAAATTGAGTACAAATAAATAGAGAAATATAATTTGTTGGATGCAGAATTGGAGATTTTAAGGTGATAGATTAAAATCTCCAACTTGGTCTAGTTGATTGGAAACTAATGCAAGATTGTTAACTCTCAGGGGGAAAGGAGTAGGGGGAGCTCTGGAGTGGCAGCCGGTATCTTCCCATCCTAACCACAGAATTAGGGACAAAACTCTAAATTAATTAATGTTATTTATAGCACTCGGAAGAGGATAAAGAATAAGATTTCTCCTATTTGGCACAAAACAGTTTTTATATATATTTTCAAATGATTTTAATCTCTTCACAATCTATATACTCATTGTAAAGGTGAATGATGTTTTCTTAAATTTGAATCTTTCATCAACAAAAACTTTGTTTAGTTTTCGTATATTTACTTTTGAAAGTTTAGTTTTTAGATGGTTAACTTTATTTATCAACTGCATTTTATATAACACTCACTTTAGTAGTTCATATTCAAACTTCACACTTTACTTTTACTTTTTTTTGTATTTTTAATTTATAAAATAATTTTAAGAATTTACATATAGGATTTTCCAACTTCCCTGTGGGATCGATATCTAGGACTCCATTAGAGCTCTTTACTACTTGAGCGAAAAGTATATTTGCGTCGATTTCAAAGGGGATTTGACAGTTTAAAAAGAGTTTTAAAGATAAACTATTTTCTTAAAGGATGTTTTTATTGGGATTATATTGTATACTTATTGCTATATCTGTTGTGTGTATTCCATAATATTGAAAAATATTTGCAAAATTTACACACTAAATCTGCCCGCATCAGCGTCTCTCCCCTATATGGGCACCCACTTGGGGGCGATGTTCCTCCACTCTCACCTTCGCACTGGGGAACCCAAAGGGCGAGTCCGAGGATCATACCTGATCCTCCAAGTCGGAACTCGGTCGTTTCTTCACCACCTCCTTCTGCCTCCTCTTCCCCTTAAGTCGGGAGCCAGTCCCTCGCTTCAGACCTTCAAAAACCATATGATAAAATGTTTTGTCGAACTTCTCAGCCTTAGGTAGCAATCCCTTAACTATTATGATGGTTGGAATTCAGACAAATTGGGCAAGAAAGTAGAAGAAAGATGGGAAGAAATGCACCCCTCCATATTTATAGAAATCGCAGGCAAGAAATTCAAGGGGAAATCATTAATATTGTTCACTCTTTTTTGCATTAATTCTGTTATTTTTTATCGTAAAATATTTATAATGAAGCAAGAGAATTAGATGAACTAAGTATGTACACAAAAATTAAGCCATCACGAATCTTAATCTAACATGTCAAAGGAGGCATGATCAAAATGGACTATCCAAGAGTGAAGTACAAAATGCGTGAGCCAGAAATATCCATCAACTCCGTTTCATAGTAATAGTATCCAAAATTGATTTACAGACCAAAGAAACCACTCAGCCAGCAAGGCTGACCAAGCGAAGGTTCTGCTGACCGAAAAATAATTCTAGTCGACCGGTTACCCGAACCCCTCAGAGCCTGTCAAGTGGGCTTCGCCGATTCAAGGATTATCGACTGAAGGCGTCAGATCGGTGTGAAAAGATAAGCCGAAGACTTATTTAGTTATTTATCTACCTGTTTATCTAAATCTTTATTTATTTACTTTTGAGTTAATTATTTTATAGCGCCTCTACTAAAATATGGGCAAGCAGATAATTATAATTCTTGTACCTCTTTATATAAAAAAAATAGAAGGGTCATTTCTACAAATAAAATAAAAAAATAATTGACAAAAATGATAGAAGTTTCAACCAACTGCGGTGCACTTGCACACAGTTTCTCTCTCTTTCATTTTCGCAAATTATATTCCGTTCAGATTTACATGGCAATCTCTGATTTACAATATATACAACACAAAGTAAATAACAGGGAAAAAAAAAACTGGAGACCTGCTCAGATACAATAGTGCAGCACCAAACACGCAACGCGTCTTGCTGTGGTTCACAGGTGGCCGTAACAAGAATAGTCCATCGGCCCGTCAAAATTCGAACTATGGCCGTTCTCGTCCCAGCTTATTCTCCTCCACATTCCGCCCTCAGATCCCACAACTGCTCCACTCGTTTTCCTGCTGCCAATTTCTTCTCTACCAGCGTCAAGGTTGGAGCTTTCCACATGAATCAACTCCTTTTGTTCTCTCCTCTTACCACCCCAATTCTCTACTTCAACTCCTGTAACAGATGGCTGGAACAAGCGCAACTGCAGGGGAAACCGAGTATGATAAGCCGAACAAGATCTTTGTTGCCGGGTCCACTGGAAAGACCGGGAAGAGGATCGTCGAGCAGCTTCTCTCCAAGAGTTTTGGTGTTATAGCGGGGGCGCGCGATCTGGAGAAAGCCAGAAGCAGCCTTCCCCAACACCCTAATCTACAAATCGTTTGTAACATTGTTTTTGCTTTGGACTTTGATTACTAGCATTTGATGATTCCTTTTTCTCTTACCAACATTATAATCTTGGGAAGGTGAGGGCTGATGTAACCGAGGGTTCGGAAAAGTTAGCGGAAGCGATTCGGGATGCGGAGGCTGTGGTTTGCGCCACGGGTTTTCAACCTTCATTGAATGTCTTCGCGCCTTGGAAGGTTGTGGTTAAATCAAACTCTATTTCTTATTGCATTCAGTCTATAGATGCAGAGTATGGTTATTTTTTGTCTATGATTCTCTCTTCATACTTCTACTGAAGGGTGAGGTTCAATTAGCTAATTTTGTCAAAAAATGATCAAACTCAGATCTCAAGTAATGTGACTGCTGCTGTAATACCAATAAGAGGGGAAGGTGAAATGGGTATTGGAAGAGGGATCTGAGAGCCAAGAGGTGAATAAGAAAATACACAAAGAAATAGGGAATAAAGGAACATTAAGCGTGAGCATCGTGAAATAATTCTTGATTTGAAATAAAGGATATATTCTTGGGGTATCCCTTGTATGATGGAAATAGTACCATAATGGCAGTGAACTCTGTTAAGTCAATCTTATGGCGCGATTTTAATTACTCGATCAATTTTAGTTTGACCCTCGACATCTTCGTCATAATTGAGCATTCTTCTGGTTTATTTTTTTCAAAGCTTTTGAAGCTTGCCATGTATTTTTTAATTTATTGCTTGCTTTGTTGAAGCTATTGATGAAAATATTGTGCATGCTTAAATGAATCATAACATAATTTAAAATTGGTGAAAAGTGACTCAGTGTAGTACTTATTAATATACTAGGATTGATGATTTGTGTTACAAGAATATAAGGTTGATGTGAATATTTATGCTAATGAAATCTATTGTGTGAATCAATGAGATGAGTTGACAAGCATGTAATCTTGATGTTCATATAATTAAATTGCTAATACTGATGATGATAAATTCTTCATTATATATTTTGTACTCTTCAATAGCATAATTCACCACAATATCATTTGTTGTGGCCTAAGAAAAACAACATCTAATTGAGATGATGATAAATTTTGATCAATAGATGATAAATTTTGATCAAAAAGTATGAAATTTTCAATTGTTATGCTAGAAGTAATTATTTTTGATGAATGATCAACAAATTTGTGGGAAAATAGAAATTTTGATTTTAGAGTTCATAACATAAACATGTCAATGTTGATGTGATGGTGGAGGTTAACATAAGGGGCACCGATGATGAGGTAGGACTGGTGGTATCCATCATTGAAAGGATCAGGCACAAATTAGAGAGGTGGTCAGTGTTGTGTGAGATGACATTGAAAGGTGAATGGGCAAACGATGTACATTTGGATCATGGAAAAGGGTGTTTGGTGTAGATCTAAGGGAAGCGACGATTTTCCTGAGTTGGCTAGAACACGAGGGTAAAGTACTGGCTTTGTTCTATGCCACTGGGCAGGTGTATGAGGCTTGTAGGTGGCATTGAAGGTGTGTGTTAGGATAGGCACATTGGGTGACAAGTGTGTTTGTTACGTGTCAAGACTAGGCTTACATATGAGTGGATGCAATGGCAGAGTCACTCCATGGGCAACTATAAGACATGGGAATCGACAATCAAGCATACATAAATTGACACTGAATATGTGAGTAGGGGTGGTTGAAGAGGGGTGTGGATGCCTATGCACTATCAATGGTGTACTATTAGAATTTGGTGGTTCATGAAAGGATGCCAAGGCCTAGGTGTCACGATTGTAGCTAGGAGGGCTGAGGGTGTCTATGGAATGAACTATGGTCAACACCAGGCTTGGTCTTCAATGTTGTTTGTGAGGGGAAAACTCGCTAATAAATTTAGGGAGATGTAGGTAATCAGGGTAGAATGCAACCAATTATTATGCAGGATATAGTTAATGATGAAGGCAATTGTAATGAAGATGAGGAATAGTCTGCAAATGGACATGGGTGTGTGATATGGTGACATTTTTTGGGGCTGGGTTTTGTAGTTGGAGCATAAGATTTGTAATTGGTAGTTAGTGGCTAAGAAAAATGGAGAAGTCAGTGTGATTAGTAACATCATGATGAGCAAGATTACATAGTAGGAGATCGATGAGATAAATATGCAAGTTAAAAAAAGAAATTGTAATACAACTAAATGTAATTGGGAAGGGAAAATAGGTATTGATAGAGGGTGCAAGGGGAGGGGGGAGAAGAATAAGAAATTGAGGAATCGAGAATAAAGGAAGAATACAATACTACATTTATCTTATCAATAATGTTGTCAAACAATACCTACCAAAATCCTTTTTGTAAACTTAAGGCTCCTAATACATGCAAAAAATACTCTAGACTAATGTAGTATGGTTTCATGTGGAAGCATAATTAAAATATATGGAAATTAAGTGAATATATGCTTGTAAACTATTATGAAAATGAATTTTAACAACTATATTATCTTGCATCTTTCACAAATTGCTATATTCTAATGAATAGTTATTGTTTTGAATTTACTGTACTAAAACACTTAAACTCATATGTGGAAGCATCAACCATAATGAGTTGGATGCACCACTAAACAAATAAAAAATATATCAATAATACAAAGTATAAAAGGACCTAGATTTATGTGATTCTGCTTTGACTATGCTTATGCCAATGGGAGAGGATAAAAGATTTGATTCACAATTATAAAGTCATAATGATGAAGTGATGCTTTAGCCTTAAAGTGCTTTTGGAAGAAGATACCAAGAAATACTAGAATACTCATTAACAAGAAACCAAATAACCATATCACCTTCACCAAAGATGCATGTCACTTTTAACGTCATGAAAGGAAGAGATAACAAACTTGCCATGATGTTATTTTTTGGAAGAAAAGAGTGTAATCTTAGTTTAATTTGAAAATATAATTTCTTACTATATAGAATTTTATCGGGTTTTATAGGCTTTAGATTATGAAAAATTTTTACTATAAGAATATTAAATTGAACCTAAAAATACTTGAAGAGTTAAAATTTAATAAAATTACATAATTATAGCTTTCATCATTTGTTGCTTTAATTTTCATCTTTTTATATTTAGTATCTTCAATGAGAATTGACATCAAGATCATACAACATTATCAAATACAAATGAAATTAACTCTGCTTAAAATCTTCAAGGAGTAGTTGCCTTAAAATCACTCTAAATCGTCAAGAAGATGCTATCTCATCTTTTTCCCACTTCATGCCTGCTCTAGTTTGCTCCAAATGTCAAGTGTACCCATAACACGATAGGCCCAAGCAGTGGTTAAATTCTCTTGTAATGGTGCTAAATTTTGATGCAAGGTGATGATAAATTATCTCAGTATTTCAGGCAATGCTGACTCTAGCTAGTGTTGCTCATAAATGCTGAACTTTTTTAGCCACCACATATTTTTCATTCTGAGAAATCTTAATCAAGAGAGTTTCATTCACATAGACATTCCAACAATCTATACCCATGAGTTATATCTTTTAAAGTCCTTGCGAAACCCTGGCTAAGAGGTTATATCATATAAGACTCCAAGGTTGGCTTTACCTTATTAGAATAATAGGCTTTTTAAATGCACTCTAAAGAAGAAAGCATGCCATTCAATGAACTTTCTTAAATGCATGTGTACTATATGACATAATTCTCAAGACTGTATGACCTTCACATGCATCTTGTGGTGGGATTCGTGTCCACACATCTTCATGTGATCGAAGTCTATTATATGAATGCATCTCTATTTGTGAATTTTGAGGTAGCTAATCTCTACTTAGATTTTCAGCAAAGTACTTTTTTATCACATATCTAATGATATACAGTCATTGCTAGGTGAGAGAAAAACATTAGATTTGAGGATACTAGCAACTTAAAAAATTGGGGTGGGAAGAAAGGTGATAAAAAACTTAGAGACAGGAGGCTAGAAATAAAATACGTTTCATTTGTCATGTGTTAGTATTGAGAGTATTCATAGAATTAAAATAGTAATAAGAACCCATTAACCATCTATTAATTACCTATTACCTATTAACTTAGTTTGAACACGCAGTGCGTTTCTTAATGAACTCCCGTCATAAGGTTGCACCTAAGTTGCAGATTTTATGTTGAGACATTTTTTTAATAAATCCCGCAAGAAATTTTATTGCTCCAAACAAAATTTACATGAAGATAAACAAAAGTTCCACTACACCCTACCACACTACAACACACGCAAAGAAAAAAGAAATTTAGGAACCTAAGGGAACAGTACAACTCACACAACAAAAAACAATCACTTATTAATATGAATGAAAGGATGATCCAAACAATCACCATGAAACAGCTGAGACAACTCCCCCGGATACTTATTGGAAACATTAAACTTTTGGGACTCCAATCCATTCTTAGCAGCCTAATTTGCGCTTTGGTTACCCTCATGATGAATAAAGAATCACTAAACCTGTATAACACTTTGACAAGCGTAAATTTTCTTCATATGATTAATTAGAAACCAAGGATACTCCTAACGTGAATTGCAATTATTCCAAAGTATCGAAGAATCCATCTCAATCATAACCTTATTCCAACCGCAACAAATAGCTAAATTCAGAGCAGTTAAAACCGCCTCTGCTTCTGGAATTAGAGGATTAGCCGCAAAAGTAGGAGCAAAAAACCGCAATAAACTGGTACCACTAGAATTCCTACAAACACTCATATTCCCAGCTAACCCACTGTCAGCCAAAGTCCTCTTGCAGCTACCATCGGTCTTAAATTTAACAAAACTTTTATTCGGTTTATTCCAAACTATAAGATTAACCTGCATGTTTACCTTATCGGCAAACAACACTTTAAACAATTGAAACAGATTCAACAGCTTCTTATTAATTGGATACTTAAATTTACCAAACTTCAGCATTTTACCAATATAACATCAAATATAATTAAAACAAAAATGTTCATAAATCCTCTTAACTGTATGATTGACATCATTTCTAGCAGTCCAAAGAAACCAAAGAATAATAATCGGGATAGAAGCATAAAACAGACCACCCTTCTCCAAAAGTTAATCGGATCATGAATATATAATATTGAATTTTAATTCAACTTTATATTCGAAAGAGAAAGAACCATATTCTAGACACCCTTAGCAAACGAGCAGTTGCAAAACATGTGTTCGATGTCCTCTTCCCGAGCTTTACAAAGAGA